TTCGAATAGGTGCAAACTTGTACAGTATTTATCAAAATATCTTGTACATTAGCTTCAGCATTTTTTTTAAACAGGTAAGCATATGCTTAGATAAACCATTGCTATTAGCAAAAGTATGAGCATTTGTTGGTAGACATTTTTAATAAGATAAGTTTTTATAAACAGTTAATATAAAATACACCTATAGTGCTCAACACTATATATAATTGTTTTTAGTAAAATTTAGGGTTAGGGTTAGAAATTAGAAAATTATTATTTTTTTTATATAATATATATAGAGCTACTATAAGAGCCTGATAGGGCCCGATCTTAGTTTTTATAAGGTTTTTGGAGGTCCTGAACATTTTTACTTAGAGTACCTGATCCCATTTACTTAGTACATTTTTGAGAAATAGGGACCTATGGTGTTGAACACCATAGGTGCATTTTAGTAGACCCATTTATAAATTTAAAAAGTTTTGTAAAGTTTAAAAGATAAATTTAATTTGAAGCAAAAAATTTAAAACAAAGAGCAAAGTAGTTAATTTAACTTTTTTATATTTAAAGATTAAAATTTGTTTCAGTGAATTTAATTTGTTATATTCGTTACATTATTGTTTAATTGATTTTATTTTCAAAAAAAATAATAACTTTAATTTGAATTATTTCAAATTAAACCAAAATAAATCATTTTAATGTATTTTTATGTTAACTTTTTATATTAATATTTATTAGTTCCTATCAATTTTATTTTTCACAATTTAAATAAATACAATATAATTCAAATTAAAATGATTTAAACCAAACTATTTCGATTTAATGAATTTAATTTGTTATATTCGTTATATTAATATTTAATAGTTCCTATTAATTTTATTTACAAAATTTAAATTAATGCGAATTAATGCAATATATACTAATTTATTTCTATTTAATGATTTTAATTTGTTATATTCGTTACATTAATATTTAATAGTTTTTATCACTTTTATTTTCAAACTTTAAATTAATACTCTATAATGCGAATTATAGCAATTTTTAAAATTATAACGAGTATACCTAAATATCAAATATAAAGTAAATTAAAATCTGTGTTTAATTTCTTTCGATTCGGTGATCGACATAACCTGTCACAGATTTCAGAAGTGCTCGGCCGATTTCTAAATTTCGGCTAAGATTACTCAATAGGGTATATTGTTGCACCATGTGTGATCGCGTAATCACAATTGCTGCGGGACCGATTTTTTACTACGCACAGCAATCACCAATCAAATTAATTATATGCGATATATATAGATATATATAACGATTATAGATAGCGCAGTACCCTGAACTTATATTCAAAAAAATTCAAGATGCCGATTAACCAACCCAGTAATCAAATCAAGTATGTGAAAAATATAGTCGGTTTGATTAGTTTTATTATATACTAATATGACTCTTAAAATCTTACGCCTAATACAGACTCACCAACGTTTCTATAGTTCGTTTGAAAAAAGGTGGCAAACGGTTTGAAATCGCATGCTACAAAAACAAAGCCATGGAATGGAGAAATGGAGTGTAAGAGTTTTTTTACTTACAAGATTTTAGTAGGCGGGACTGCAGATTTTTAGATAATAATTGACTGATGATTATAGGGAGACGGATTTAGACGAAGTTCTTCAGATTAAAAATGTGTTCTCAAATGTGTCTAAAGGGCAAGTTGCGCCTCAAAGTGATCTTCAAAAGGCATTCAAGAGTGAGGATTTGAGTAAAATTGTTGAAGAAGTACTATAATTACCTAAACTTGAAAGTGATGATGTTTGAATAAATGAAAATTAAAAACTGATCATTTCAAACTTGATTGTACTTTGTAGATTTTAAAGAAAGGAGAACTTCAAGTTAGCGAGAAAGAAAGATCGCATCAAATTGATAATATTTATCGTGAAATTGCTACAATTGTTGCAGAAAAATGTGTTAATCCGCAGACAAAACGACCATACACTGTAACTATGATTGAAAAGGCATTAAGAGAAATACATCTCTCAGTCAACGTGAATAAGAATACAAAATCACAGGTAATAATCTATAATTATGATTACTTAAAATTTATAATAAGAAACAATAATATATATAATATTGAATTATAAATTATGAATCAGGCGTTGGATGCGATCAAACAACTTCAGGAAAAAAAAGTCATTCCTATTTCTCGCGCTCAAATGCGTTTGAGAATCACGATGCCTAATTCTAAGGAAACTAAGAAAGCCAAAGAAAAGTTGACTCCTTTGATTGCAAGTATTGAAGATGAAAATTGGGATAATGAATATGAACTGGTAACATTTATTATGATTTGACTATAATAATTTCTTTGTCAGGCACATTAATTAAACCTTTTTTTCCGTTTAGATATGTCTAATTGATCCTGGACAGTATAGAACCATTGGTGATATATTGGAAAAAGATATAAAGGGAAAAGGTCAAATAGAATTATTATCTCTAAATGATACAAGTGAAGGAGATATAAAATTTTAAATGGTTCAAAACTTTTCTACTCGCAACAGAATTTATGAATTTAATTTAATAAAAAAAAATTGTTTTTTTTCAATGATTATCTAAAAACTTAAATTGTAAATAGGTTTTGATATATTGATAATCCTGTTTCAACTATACATTTATAATGTAATGTGATGCTGTGATGCGTTAGTAAATCAAGCAATAAGATCGGAGATTAAGGTTAACTAATTAACTTCATGGTTTTACTAGCATTAGAATTGCTAAAGAGAGAGAAGTTTGTCAATTCTTTGTTACGAATATTGCAAAGTACTTACTATATTTGCGTTCGCTCCGCCGAACTCAGTTTACAACATTCAAGTATTCTCCAAAACATAGAAGTGAATTTACTACTATACTTTGAAATTAATATTAGAGTACCCGAATGTAAATAAAAATTTAAGCACAAAATTATGTAGATGTCCAAAGCTTTTTTTGAGCATATTTTATATTTTATATTTTATTTATTTAATAAGTTTTTTTTTTTTTTAAAGGTAGAAAACCTTGCCTTAGTCTTTATTGAATAATAGCAGTTAACATTACATTATTGTAATTTATCAGATACTTACGAATTATTACATACTCTCAGTTTGTAGACTAAAGTTTTTCCTGTATTATAATTATATATATATATATGGAGTTGAGTCAATAGAAATCAAGCAAATATTTTTTAATAAGTTTTTTTAAACCTTTAAACAGGAATAACTTAACAAAAACTTAATCAAATTTAATAAAAATTTTTTATATTAATTCTACAAGTTTGTAAAAATTATTTAAAAAATTTTGTCAAGTTTTTGTTAAGCTATTCTTGTTTGGTATGAAAAATTTTTATTATAAAAAATTTGCTTGATTTCTATTGACTCACCCCATATATATATATATATTAAGTTAATAACATGTTATTTTTATTTTCTATTGGTTGAATTTTTGTTTAATCACGGGCATAAATTTCTTTAACTCGAGTTTATCACATCAATTTATCCAATTAAATTCTAGAATATTACCTATCACATTAATTTATCCAATTAAATTGTAAAATATAGTCAATTTAGGTTTAAGTCTTGGTCTCAAAACCTATAAGTAGAACTAATGCAAGCTCGGCTAACAGCTCACTATAACTGAGCTAAACTATTATTTTCGAAGTTATTTGTCTTTTAGTCGAGCTGTTTTTTTAGCTAGTCGATCTAAGCCGTGGCTATAACTTGTAAAATAAAAAAATTTTATCAATTTGGTTAGTTGGTTGTTGAAATATCTATAAAATTTGTCAAATTTTTTTAGACTAAGATCCCAGTGTATATGACTGGATATAACAGATGAAATATTAATCAGAATCATCTGGAGAGATGTACCTCTCGTCAAGTACGCGAGTCTCGCGTGAGATACATCTCTAATCTCACTGAGATGAGAAGATCATATTTTCTGTTTTAAAAATTCCGAAACAGAAAATTAAATAAGCGTAGCCAGTGATAAAATTAGCTTTTGATAAATACCTAGCGGTAGGCGATTATGTAAAACAAATAAATAAATATATTAATATATATATATATAGTATATATATATGTCTATTTATCCGATATTTGATCCTATTATTAGTATTTTTAGTCCTAACTAGTCCCAAGACCGGATCACAAAGTCTTGAATGTAAAGACCACCACCCCTATGGTGGATGATTTGGTAACCCAAAGTAGAATTAAAGATTGACCCAACTTATTAATAACTCCAGTATCAAAGTACTTGCGTAGTACATATCGTACGTGGTCGCATAATTGATAATTATCAGTTATGTAATCATTTCTGTAACACTCACGTGACAACGCACTAATATAAATTTATAAATTCGGACCGCTTTTCGCCCATTTCCTCTCTGTCGCTTTTGAGAATGATTTATTCACTTTATATAATTAGCAAAGCGGGTGGTCTTATGTATCAAAAAGATTTTAATGAAGGGTTAGCACATTTAACTGCTAATGAATATTTGGTCTTAGCTGGTACTTTTCACGGGTAAGCATTTAATGAAATGAATTTTTTATTGGTAAAATTATGACGAAATACGAAATGATCATTATTTAATGCAGTTATTACTAATTTATCCAATAAATTTTTTAGCGTACACGCTATTACATCCAAAATTTCCCCGGTCAGAAATTCAACATCTTCCGGATTAGAAGTTTTGGAAGCAGATTCTTTTAAATTGTATTGCTTTCAAACGTTAACAGGCTGGTACATCTTTTCTTGTAGAATGCGATTACTTTTATTCTATTAACGTTTCTTTTTTAATAACAGGAACAAAATTTCTGATTCTTGCCGATCCAACACATCCAAATATTGATCTTGTACTTCGACGTACTTACGATGTTTATAGTGACTATGTTATGAAAAATCCTTTTTATACACCAGAAATGCCAATTCGTAGTGAATTATTTGATATAAATATAGTCAAATTGATTAAACAAGTTGGGAGTTAGTTATATGTGAGATGCATATTAAGAAAATGAAAACTGCCTAAGTCAGAGTTAACATTAGATTAATTGAAATTATTCTAATGGTAATACGTTTAGTTACCAGCATGTTAATAAAGAAAATAGATTATACATATACAACTATTTATGTGTTTTTTTTTTTCTTAGAATCAAATGTTAGTTAGTTCTGAATACTATGCTATAATATAGCAAAATGAAATAATAGAAGAGATATATAATTATTAGCTTTCATCGTCTTTAAATTAATGAAAGTAATGAGAGCAAATCGCTGTCTACTTGTTATAGTGTCTTCCAAAATAATACTAGGTATCCCGGACAAAATATTCGAAGTTGCTTGAAATACTACTTTGTTAATAACAAGCAGATAGGTACTAAAATTTGAATATCTTGATATTGAGTGCTTGCAAAAAGACTTTAATTAAAATATTTCAATAAATAAATTCGTATCAAATGTTAATGCAAGAATATTCTTGGTTTTTTTGTTTTATTCGCTTATATATTTCTTTTTTTCATTTACATATTGAAAATTACTGTATTTCTAATTTTACGATTAATGCCCTCAAGATTGATAAATAATATATATATGTAGATATAAAAATATGTATAAACTCAGACAATGCAAGAAGATAAAGTATGTAATAAGGAAGTAATGCTATATGAAAGAATTTTTCTTGTGAGGTACGAGTAAAATATAAAAGTTTGGATTATTTTTAAAAAAGACGCGACAATTTTTATGCAAAGAAAAAACTCAGAGTTCATCAGAAAGAAAAAAAGAAGATTAGGGTAGTCTTATTCAACAAAAATTATGGGTTGTTAAAAAGTATCCCTAATCAATATGCTAAATACCGTATTAAAGAAATTTGAAAAAGAAATAAAAATTTCCTTCAAACAATAAGCCATGGGTTGTTTAAGGAAACAAAAATTTGTAATAAGTGTAAACTAAGAATGCTTAGGGGAACATAAACTATCACATGCATATTGAGCATAATTAATAGGTGTTTAAGATTTTTTAAAGGAAAATTTAGAAACTTAAAGAATAAATATATCTTATGAGGGTCATTAAATGCATAATACATATCTAGATATGTGTCTAATCGTGAAATGCAAATCAAATATGCAATGTAAACAATATAGTGAAGCTAGCTTCAATAAAAAACAAATGTTCTAAATATTCGGAAATCGATAAGACGAGTCACAAATTTCGAAAAATGATTATTGATGCGAGGAGTAAATATCTAAAAAAAAAAACGACACGCAAAAAAACAACCTAATTTTTTTAGGGTAATGATAATAATTTCGTTTTTTCGTGAAAAAAAAGAAAAAATTCTGCCCGTTCATCATCTGGAAATGATCATACTGAGATGTCCATTTTTTTTGAGGATCGATTGTTTTTTTTTTTTAATTTTTTTCTTTTTTAATTTTTTTTTCCGACTTTTTTTTTTTTTTTTTTTTTTTTTGGTTTTTTTTTTCCCTTTTTTAAACATGTCTATCGTTTTTTCGAGCCATCGCATCTATTAGTTGATAGGCGTATAATTTGCTTGGATATATGCGTCCAGTACCATAATAAATAGAATTGGTAAAAACATCAGGACGAAAAAGCATCCAAGGCGTCTGAGAAAGAGAAAAAAGGATCATTAGGAATGAATGTGCAATTTACATATTACTTTTGAAAAATGCGCTTACTTTGCTCTACTGAATCCGATAGATGCTTGAGGTTGATCATCTGACGAAACCTTACGACATTTACAGTAAAAATAGGTTAAGATTTATAGCTCGTCTTATTTTGTATTGCAGTTAATGAAATTTAAATTTACCTCGTATAACTCTTCTTCTAATTCAGCAAATGTTTCGTAGAGTTCTTGTAACTCTTCTTCTTTGTACCGTAGTTGTTTCTCTTGCTCTTCAGTCGCCTCCCTTATCTTTTCTATGGCTGATCGAATCATCGCATTCTTTAAAAATTATATGTGCATAATAAAAATTAAAATTTAATTGTTGTTATATCAAATTAACGCGTTTTTTCGAATATAATTTAAATAAGCAGATCGTTTAATTTTTGCATACAATTATGCCGATCACTCCCAATTTCGCCTTTTTTAAAAAAAAATAAAAAAATAAAAAAAAATAAAAACCTTTTTCATAAGAGTTTTGACCTCGGCATCATCGCCAGCATAACCAGCATTGCCAGCATCTAAATCCTCAGCGACGACAGCTGCAGCGGTCTCGATGATTCCATCATCAAAGAAATGAGCATCATCACAAGGTATTCCATCATCCGATTGAAATAGACAGGTATCCTTTTCAGTTCCTAGAAAAGGAAAGGTCGTCGCAAACTGATGGTATGATGAATGCAACTTGGATGATCCAACACTAAATGAGTCGTAAAAAAATTGTGAGCATGCATTGTTTGTTACGAGTGCGACGATTGTATTGGAAGTAAGAAAAGGGCTTCGTTATATACGCACTTATAGTCTTCAAAATCTTCTAGGAAAGTTGTTTGGAATTCTTGCAACTTTTCTAGTAACTATTCAAGAATTAGGTACATGTAATTGTTAAATTATTGAAATTTTATATTGTAAACTTTACGAAGGCAAAGAAAAAAGTGTTTGAAAATTTAACACCGTCTATTCACCTTTTCTGTCGAATAGGATTGGTCATTAGTAATAAACTCTATGACATGCAATCCTTTCATGTCAGGAGTAGAAGTGTCAAAAGCGTTAGAACTAATTGAAGTTGTCATAATGATTTCGTTGAATGCAATATATATATATATATATTTTTTTTTTTTTTTGTTCTTTTTTTTTATAAAAGATTTATGAATTTTAAATGCAGATTATGGTTCGCAATTGTAAGAAACAATATTATAATTTCGTTTCAATAGCGCAGTGCTAAGTGTATGGAATAATGTCATAACAGAGTATAAAAAATGAGAAAACTAAGAAAGAACGCTATAACGGCGTCTGTCGAAAAGTTTGGGGCTATGAACTTTTCTCCAACCCTTTAAATAGATTTTAGAACAAAGGGGTTCGGTCGTTACGTTATAATGATAGGATAAAGGAAGGCGCGACAGCTAGGCGGAAATTAACGCTGTGCGAGAGTTTTGCAGTGAAGAATAGAAGAAAGACAAGGGGAGAGAGTTTGTATGACAAATGCAACGCCTCCTGTGACGCCTGCAGTATTTAAACTTTGATTTGTTTTTTTTTTTTAAAGGAATTTTTTTTAGCTATTCGAAATGTGGTGACGGTGTTCATCACGAACGGTATTAGGAATTTCGCATTATCTGTATTTTACGGTATCTGTATTTATTAAATCAGTAACTCTAATTATCGTTATGAATGATTGTAGACATATTTGGAACTTTTCTCGTCGCTTCCGGCCGAATAGAGTTGATCTTGTTTTCTTTCCCGATTCGGATTCCGTAGTTTATAACAAATGAAAGAGCCCATTGTTTTCGAAACGTTTTCGTACAGTGCACGTGGAGTTGTAATTCATGCCTATTACTATAACAATACCCATTATTCGGTACGCCAATCGGTATGCGATCACGTGTTGTAAACAACAATAAAGAGTCGGTGAAATTTATATAAATACCACCTTAAATCAATGCCTGATACGGTACGTACCTTTTTTTTATCTGCTATTTTCACCATCCCCTACATATACGTATCCGTTTGTATTAACAATAGCTATTGACGTATGATTTCGGTAAATTCTCTTACGTAAAAAAAAAAAAAAAAAAAATTATGGAATCCATACTGTCTATTGAGGACGAAAAAAATGATGTAAATAAGCGAGCCCATAAAACAAATATTACCAAACTTCTCAAGTCATATGACTTGTTCAAAGTTAAGGTTAAGGTCAAATTCGGGTTCGAAAAAGATACTCTAGTGAAAAAAGGTAGTAATATCAAAGCATATTTGGGTCTAGGAAAGTTTTCTCGTTCAGGTAAACATGGTAAACAAAAAGATTCGGAAAAGGAAAGCATGCAGAAAATCATTCATTCAACTTCAAACCAACAACAGCCCACCATTAATCATTTTCCAAAAATTAATAAGGTTAAATTTGTGGCTAACTGCGGCCGAAGATTACTAACAATACTCTCTTTGGCCTATATTATCTGTATAAATCTAATAATTGGTTTTCGATTCTTTTTTTTTACTAGGTTCCACAAATAAATCATAATAATGTTGGAACACAAGAAATTCAACTACAAGTACAAGAGATGCATCAATTTATCAATCATTTATGGCATTCACTAAAACTACATAGGCAAAACTTTTCTAGTTCTGCGGATAATCTTTTATTCATTCATTCCCAATTGTCTGCTCTTGAAGTATCAAGAGATAATACGATGCATGAGGCAAAATTTGCATCAAGAGATGTTATTAGTGTCTTACAGCTTTACTTTAAACCATTAGACGATTTATCACAAGAATTCACTTGCTACCTTTGGGAATTAACTAGAAACATTTTTACTCTGGTAAGTAACGGTCATGCGAAAACCGTTATTAAAAGTTTGGCTAGAATAATTTGGTTAGAAGAGGAAATGGACGTTCAAACAAATGAGACACGTATTGTCAAATCGTACAAAAATAACTTTTTTAGCATTTTGAGCAACACTATTTTGGAAAGGTTTGAACTTTTTTTGAGCAAAGTCAAAGACACCCCATTGACATTATTAGACAATTTAGATTTTATATATAATGATTTAAATTTAGTAAAAGATGAAATTGAACCACAATTCCCTTTGCATTACAATGTAAGACTTTTCTTCGTACAGGAATATCATGATCAAGTTTACACCTGGCTGAACGATATTATGCAAACTGACTTGTCTTTGGACGCGGGAACTATTTTTGCCTTGATTCGCTGGGTGCGTCAATACTACCTTAAAATCGTAAGTGATATGAATATATCGCAAGACTTACTGGAACCAGAGCTCTTAGACGGCAGGGAGCACGAATTGATTGATTGCTTACTATCAATTATGCGCAGCAAGTTTCAAGAATGGAAAAATAATTTGATTGAAAGTGATATTAAAGAATTTATTGAACGTCTTTATGAATTAGATGCTAATAAAGTGACTGGCCTTTCTGGTACACCTGTGCTGATCAGTATGATTAATCAACAAATAGATTTGGCCATTATGTCTACTCATGAAAAAATTTTAGCTAATGTGGTCAAAGAATGTTGTAAAGTGATGATTGACATACAACAAACTTGGATGATCACATTGGAATCAGAAGTTCGCCTATATATTGAAGAAAAAGGTGAACCACGTCTTTTGGAATATATTATCGCATTGGCTAATGATGAATGTCGTTGTGCCGATCATGTTGAAAATCTTAAGAAACAGTTAGCACCATTATTTAAATCTAACGAATATTGGGATCCCGTTAATGTTGAGCTTTGTCATGTGAAAGATGGATTCTTATATGTCGTTACAAATGCCATCAGTACAGCCTCGTGCATCGTATTCAATGATCTTAAAAAACCATTTCGTGAAATGCATACTTCACAGTGGTACAAGGCGGGTCCAATGAGCGTCATTACCGTGACGATAGAAGATTATTTAAACCATATTAAATTATGCCTGAATTCAAGTTTATTTGCCATGATGATCGCTACCATGATTCAAAAATTTGTGATAGCATATGTGGAATCAATGCGTAACAAAAATGCCAAATATCGCACGTCACAATGCTTGGATCATATGCGAAGAGACATTCGCGTGGCAGAAAACTTCTTTGTGCAATATATTAAACATGATGAAGTTAACCGACAATTTGACCCGATTCATAAACTTCATAATTTTTTAAATACCTCACGCGAAATGGTACACATAGATTATTACGCGTTGAAAACGTCATATGGAGATATACCTCGAAAATTCCTTAAAAATATTTTGTCAAAAAGATATGACATTATAACTTCCAGAAATATAAATAAAATAATCAAATCTAAAGAGCTTGAATATGGTGAATACACGGGTGAACCAACAATATTTAGTATGATTAAAGTTAATGAAGAAGATGTGTCAGGAGAACAACTCGATCGGTTCAAAGGAGAAATCCAACAATTAACGAACGGGCTTAAGGATCTATACTATAAATGCAAAATAAAACTGCATAGATCGGAATCGTACCAATAATACTTATAATTTAATATTTTAGGTGCTATATTTCTATTCTATCACAACTATACTTACTGGCAAATTGGGATTTGGGACAAATTTTATTATATTTGGGATGGGATTTGGAATTTGGGATAATTTTATTATATTTGGGATTTGGATGGGATTTCAAGAATTTATAATTTTACCAACATGTACTGTGTAATCACAACGCCTGTATTATTTGTTTCATTGAACAATTCTTATATTAAGCAAGAATATACTATTTCTTGTTACCGTATATTATATTTATAACAATAATCAAGGAACCAGATATGTTTTTTAATGAACAAGTCATAAACACATCTGCATATCAACATGCACTATGTTATAGTTGTGCATCATGTTTTTTCGATGCACACATGGTATTTATAGATTTCCTTTTAAAGAATTTTTTTTTTTTTTTTTCTAACGTCAGCGATTGGATTCCACGATTTCGCATAATGCTGAATCAAAATAGAATTCAGAATTTACATGTGTATAACGTCAATTGTTATAATGACTAATGTCATTTATACATATTATTTAAGGACAATATAAATCATAGAAGATCGTGAACAATGGCATTTTCGAAATTAGCATGGATTTTCATCTAATGAATAAACGAAATGCCGTTTTCAGGCTTAACGTTAACGTTTATGTAGCATAATAGGCAAAGGCCGAATAATTAGGTTATATCTACCCGCAGTTATTCAAATAGCAAAAATACCGTTTAGATGGTTTTGAATATACAACTTTTGGTTACGCACTTAAAAGAAATGATATTGTTATCGCTATTGTCAAATTAGTAACTCTTTACCACATATATATATATAGATGTACATGTATATATATATGTGTTTATATAAATGTAATTTTTTTGTTGGACGACGAATTTAAAATTTGGGGTGCATTTTTTAGGGATTTAGGGTTAGAGTGTTATTAAAAGAGTATAAATGGATTTTAGATTTCAAATAGAAACCCGAAACTTCAGCATACCGCTAAACAATTTAAATCGATATATATATCTGATGATACACAATAGATGTAAATTTATTAATTTTGGCAACGCCATGAAAATTTATCATATGATACTTGTAGCTATAAGTCTCGTGAATAGGCGTTCAAAATACTATATATAATGCACACACATATATATTTATATATAATATATACGTATGTGTATGTATTTACATCGAATTTTTTTTTTTTAAAAAAAAAAACGCTTTTTGGATTAGTTTATACATACGTAGCATTTTTTTTTATATGCGAATATTAATTATTAATTTACATGTTAAAATAAAAATTCTGTTTAAAATTAAAGGTTAGCTTTAGAGTTGAGAAGAGTTTATATTAAAATTTTGTAAAAAATATTTTTTGCTAGAATTTTAAAAGCTGTTTTATATTTTTATAGTTGAAATATAAACATATTCGTGTATATACACATATAGTAGTATACAAATAGAAATTGTTTTAAAAAACAAAAAAGTAAGTTAATTTTTAATAATATATAAATATATATTATATATACGTAATTATACTGTAAATATAAAATTATAATAAATATTTTAAATTAGTCATTTTAACTAATTTAAGCAAATTTATTATATTTTTATTCTTATTAAATTATTATTATTATTATTATTAAACTAGCTTTATAAACCAGTATGTAACAGGCTAACATATACTGCATTAGCAAATATTCTATCTAATAAAGATTCATTAAGTAACAATTGCCCAATACAACCTGCTATAACAACTATTTGCTCCTTTTAGAATTCTTAACTTGCTAAAAATTTGTATACAAAAGTTTATATTTTTTAATACTTCACTAGTTATTATATATCTTGTTAAGACTATATTTTTTTTTTTAATTTTTTTTTACAAAAATTTTTTTTTTTATCTCTTTGACAGTCTTGTCAGAGCTTGAATACAAACACTTTATTTAAAACTTAGTAATAGTACAAAACTATTTCTAAACCAAACAAGTAGTTAAAGCAAGAAAATTGCAAGTTTAACATCTCAGGCTGCATTGAACATGCCTATCAGCAACCTGTTGCACCATCTTGTAAACAAGTTGGAAGACTTTGTTAGCTTATCGAAAGCTAATCTCTTCAATTATTCTTTCTTTACCAAGAGCAAAAGAAAGTAATAATTTCATATCTGCAATACAAAACCACCAATTAATGAAAATAAAAAGAAATTATATCTACTAAACAACAAAATAAATGAAAAGAAAATTTAAAAAAAAAACAAAAAGAGGAACAAGGAATACAAAAAAAGAAAAACAAAGAGAAAAGCCTTGAGGGCTGACAAAGAGGAACTACCTCTATCAAGAAGTAATGGACAACAACCCAAAAGTTGTAACGAAAAAAGAGAAGTACACTATTATAACCCATGCCAGGTAGAGTAAAAAATTTTATAACAAATGCAACAATTGTATATCTCAAAGTAACACAAAATCTAAATGAATACACTGTTTGACTATTAACCAACTTCGAATATCTCTTTAACTAGAGATCCTGATCCAAATCACATGAGGTAGTGCAGTATCTGCAAGTAAACAAAACACATGGTTGCATTCTACTGAGTTCGTCCAAATTGGGATATAAACAATGTTGATCTTTTGAAAAGGGTAAACCAAATCTAGAGATTTATAGTTTAGTTTGGTCTAGTCTTGGTTCTAAAGACTGGTCCTAACAGAAGATCGTGGATCAGACTACGGTTCAGAACTAGAGATATTATAGTTCGGTTTTAGTTCACTGATCCAAGACTGGTCTATTATTGGCCAATAGAAATTCAGAATTTCATTAAATGATTTTACCATATTATTGTTATAGTATTACAGTATTAGGTGACTTATCCACAATATATAAGTTATATAACAAGAATAATAATTTATTTTTAAATATGTATATGTATTACAACTTAATAATATAAAAAAGTTTTAACTTCAATATTTCAATAAATTTTACAAAATCAATGTTATCTTTAAAATATTTATATTGGTATAATATACTAATATTTCTTATTTTAAGTAAAAGCACATGCTGGCAACTGGTTAAATGACCTAGCAGATAAAGCAGCAAAAAAAGGCACTCAAGAAAGTGAA